AGTCCCACTCGTGGTCTCGCCGAGTCAGTCACTTAAGTTGCTATTCAATCTCGCTGCTACTCGACGAGTAGGGAAACCAAAAGAAACTACAATCAGACAATACCTGAGAATTGGGGCGTTACAGAATTAGGTACCATATTTGCAAAAACCAACTATATTAAGAGATCAAATGTGTAACTTTCTCTAAGGAAAATGAATTTACCTGCTAAAAGAGTTCGGTTATCAAACGAGTGTGACTCAACACTTTCCTAGTTTTCATAATCCAAACAATAATAACATCAACCTGCAATATATTAAAAAATATATGGTTATAACTTATAATTACAAATAAACTTAAACCAGTTTCTAAACACCAATAAAAATAATAATTACAAAATCTTCAAGGTATCATTAGATAACTTCTCAATTTGTGACACTTCTTTAACCAACTTTCAGAATATCTAATGAATTAAACGAAACTTGTTTTGATAATAAAACGTCTATAGACCTTCTATCAAATGCACAACTTTTTGAATTCCACCTTACTGTGCATATAAACTCTTAAAGCATGTGTATGACTTCATTTGGAATTTTTTTAGAATATTCATATTTCATACATCCATTTTTCACTCAAAACACAAACTAGGCATAAAAATTTCAGTTTTCAAGTTGAATGTAGAAATCTTATTTTGTCCGAATACCAGATTCCTTCCCTGTTTAAAATTTCTTATCACTTTAACAAATCCATAATCATTTCTGTTTTCAATTTGAAAACTTTAAGGATTTGCAAAGTTCACCATTTGAACTTCTTGAAACATCAACTTGAACTGAATGGTCAATCACAAGGTCTACTGGCACCTAGGAAATATGAAGGTATGAAAAAAATTAAAGGAAATATAAATGTATGAAAGAATTAAAAGCTATTGATGCTTTAAAAAATATGTGAATGGGATAATTAGAATATTACTTACCAATGGGTTGATCTTCTTGGAGTCGCCACTAAGTATGATCATAGAATCTCATATACAAACAAGGTTATCTACAAATAGAACTCCAATAAAATCCTAAAAAAATATCATGGATTATTACAAGTGAACAAAGGAATGCAAATTTGTATACTTGAATCAAGCCAATCTACCTTAAAATTAAAGCAAAGGAACTAAATCTGGTTCAGGACTTTCATCAAGCAACTTGTGTGCACTTCAGAAAACCTGACACTTTGAATACAAATTGACTATATTTTCACTAGAAAGATCCATGTTAAAGAGAACAACAATATTCATAAGGCAACACATGAAGGAAAAGAGCACTAGAGTTTTATATTTTCACGAAAATGGTCTTCTTAATAAGAAAACTTCTAAACTCTAAGTAATTTCAATATCACATACTGTATTGAATCTGATCACTAAATTAGAATACGAACAAACATATAGATTGTCAACTTAATTTTGGTAATGCAGAAAAGCAAAAGTAACATCTGATCTAAAAAACCGAAGAAATACAGAAAAATAAAAACCTCTGTTTAGGCAACTTCTAGTGGAGGAAAATTGAGACCGATGTCGAGAGTTAGGGATAGTATGATAGGCTAAGGTCAAGTTCTTCAGGCGTAAGTATAGCGATCGAGACCAGATGCACTTTTCATATTGGTTGCACTTTGAATTCTTGATAGACAAAGTATCTTCTTCTCCGTTCAGGTCTTTAATCCACAGAGGAGGCCGAGATGAGGTCGGCGATTATGGTGTACTCCGGGGAATGAATTAATGGAGGATAAAACGATTCAAAATCAAAGCATCTTCATTGGAATTTGTTCTATGAAGAACTGGTCGACAGAGGTAGAGGTGGCCGGTGAAGGTATGAGGGAGGCGATCGGCAACGGATGATGGAGGAGGCAGTCGTTTTTATCGTCAATGAAAAACGTGAGAGGGAGAGATACTTGATGACGAACATAGAAAAATAGTATAAGGAAAGGGTTTGATAGGATTAGGTATAAGTTTTCTATCCCTAAAATGCCTCTAACAAATTGAAATAAGATACCCCGTGTTTTTTATTTCCAAGTTTTTACAAAAATACCGCAAATCATCTTGATCCTCTGTTATTTTGATCTAACGGTCCTTTTTTGGTTCTCGAGTTCTTGGGAAAGTATAGTTTCTCAAATGATCATTTCTCTCTCTCTCTCTCTCTCTATATATATATATATATATATATATATATATATATATATATATATATTAGTTATTCTCGTTAAAATAAGTGTTTATAAGGGTTATATTACTCAATTTAAAAACTACGTAATTATAATACATTGAACATGTTACCGACTTAGTATTGAAACCTTAAACGAACCATATTGTAATTATTCAAAAGTTTTTGTCACTTTAGGGACATAACCCCATTTATGCAATAAAATAAAATTAACCCCACATTTGCAAAGGAAATGGAAAACAACCCCATATTTGCAAAAAACTCCGCAAGTCTTACATGTTTGGTACATTGCACAAATCTATATGTGTTGCTAGGATTTTGTGATCTGATTCTTGTAAAAGGAATGTCGTCTTTGGGATTCATCTATGTCGTCTCCATTTTAAACAATGGTTTGTGTGATCTCAACCTTGTCATGTTAGCCTTTTTAGTGTTCTTTTACTTGTGAGTATAACAACATTGATTTTGATTTCTTTATTATACCCATTATTTGCACTTGATTAAAGAAATTGTTTAAATGTTGAAGAGAAATCATCTTCATGTTCAAAGATGGTTTCTGAGTACAACATGACGTCAAGCTCTGATTATCAAGGCAGCAATGTGGTTCTATTTCGTAGTTTCAGCCTCTTATTTTCTGGCTTTGAACTTTTAGTCCAAACTCGGATTTTCCAAAATCATTCTGTACAACTTCTTACTACTGAAACATGTTCTATTATTCTATAGATTCGTTTAACACCAATAAACATTCTCAAAATATGTACTTGAATATAAGAAACTTAGTGAGTTGATTGAAAGTCAATAGTTTGACTCGAAAGTCAAATATTTATATGCTCACTGAGTTCATCCCAATTCAGAATATTGTGCAGATTAAAATTCTTTAGATCTTAAACCATTATAAGAACTTCTTGAGTGTAATTTTAACGGGATCATATTTAACCTTTTATACCAAATCACATCATTTTCATCTAAGCACACAATTCGACTTTTTGAAGAAGTCAGGTGTGTTGACTGAGCGCCATCAATGATCTTATCTTGCTTAAGGTTCTGAATTGATTCAAAGTCGTCACTTAATTACTACACCTTCCAAATTAGGGATCATTACCAAAAATTAACAATAACATGTTTTAAAAGACTGGAATCCTTTGTGCTGTTACGCGTTCAATTACCTCTCAAAAATATTCTGTTGTTTCCTTCTCTTCCTCCAGTTGGCATAGGATGGTAAGGTGCTCTTTATTGTCTCGTAATCGAAATTTTTTGTGATCATTATTCAGCATCAATACGGTGGCTTGACTTCACCTTTACTACTATAAATTACATCATTATTCCATGTTATGCTAATGCACATAATAGCAATCAACTAATTAGCAATCAACACAACTAAAGATTGTTTATCCACTTGTTGCAGCAAAATAGTGTTATTTTTACGTGAAGCTCTTTGCACAAATCCTCAACAGATGAATGCAAATAAAAAGGTCAAAACAAAACAAAATAAATACATGATGGTCTTATTCACATAAAAGATAGCCTCAAGAAATTAACGAACGAGTACATATTAGATTTGAATTAGGAAAACTCCACTAGTCATATCAGATTGGATCGCTCACAACAGTCAGCCAAGAATCAGGAATCGTTTTGGTGATTAATTTTTTGTGCATTTTCACACACTTGTATCCCAATGTAGTTGTTTTTCCTTTCCCCTTACAAGACTTCATGTCTTGCTTCTTGATTAATCTGGTTGCAGATTGACAATGACAATACATGGACATATTACTTGTTGATCGACATCAACGAACATGACAATAACCATGCTTGAGAATGTACATATGCAAACACCCACCTGAAAATTAGATAAGTTAAGAGAAGACATCAATTACCTTTTCAAGTTCGTCTTGGACCTCCTCTGGTGCATAGAATAACATGATGTTCACTTTGCTATGTAAGTTCTCCAACCCTTGTCACATTGGACAACCATATGTTGGTGATTTTAGTGTCACAATGTCATTTTAAGTAATTGAAAATAACATGTGAGCTAAAGAGCTTCATGATTTGTACTCTAATACATGTATGGGGTTGTACGGGGTTTGGGGCAGCGCCCCAAAATCTCACCGAATTTTGCATGTGGGAATATAATGGAAAACTCTATTTCTTGAGGGTGATTATGGTAAAACTAACGAAACTCGTTAGTTTTTGGTAACCCTAATCCGGATTAATATTACTTGCTTTCAAAGCAACTAATGACGGCCCAACCATAATGAAACCCTAATCGTGTTTAATATATAAACAACTCTTCGTTTCCATAAGGGGGACGTTCTTTAGCTCTCGTTTTTCATCACACATTCACAGAACCCTTAGCATAATAACTTACATTTTCTGTACCTAGAAACGTAAGTGTCCGCTTGGATGATCATAGGCTGAATTTATTGTAACCCAGGCATAGGGTAGAAATATCAGGTCGGAAAGTGATATCACGATCCAAGCTGGTATCCAGATCTCCACCGCAAATCTTAATATTCCAAACACCATAGTGTTTATCCTTGTATTTTCCAAAATAACAGTTGAGTTGGTTTATAGATGGAGAACAAGCAGGAAAAAGTTCAAAACACGAATAAGCTACTTTATAATATCAGTTTTAGAAATATAACAAGGATTTTTGTTTTGTGTATAGTAGTTGTACGTATTTTAAATATAATTATTTATTTTTTTGCTGAAATAGTAACTATCGATCGTCATATCAATATCAAAATTCACATCAAAGTCCAATGGTTAATTAAAATAGAAAACCGAAAAAGAGAGAATACTTGTTATAACATTTCTGGGCCTTGTTAATCGTAATCGTGATCGTCATCGTATGTGTAATCATAATGGTAATCGTATGCGTAATCGTATTCGTATGTGTAATCATAATCATAATAGCATTTGTGATAGGCCACGTAATCATATTGAAGATCGCGATTGAAAACGTGATTGTCATCGTAATAGGAGATTTGTATCTCATCAGACACCTCAAGACTCCCTCTTGACCCATAAACACACAGACACTTCAACATAAGAATGCTCTGTGGAAGATAACTTATGGGTGTAGCTCCTATGGATAAGTCTTCTAGACATTCTAAACATCCAATTTCCTCAGGTAACTTCTCCAGTGACCAACAACAAGCAAGATTGAGAGATTTCAGATGTTTCAACATACAAATGCTATCCGGAAGATATTGCATCTTTGTAGATGACAATGTTATGTGCTCTAATGACTCTAATTGGCCAAGATCCTCAGGTAACTTCTCAAGTGAAAAACATTGATCAAGATCAAGTTTATGTAGATTTTTCAACATAACTATGCTATCTGGAAGATGCTTAATATATGTATGTGACAAATCTAGCAAGCGCAAGCATTCTAACTGGCCAAGATCCTCGGGTAACTTCTCTAACCTTGAACAACAATTAATATTGAGAGACTCCAGATGTTTCAACTCACAAATGCTATCTGGAATATGCTCAATATCTGTACATGACAAATCCAGATCCTTTAAAGATTCTAATCCACTAAGGTCCTATGGTAACTTGTTAAAATACTGAGAATGGTAAAGTATGAGAATGTTGAGGTGTTTCAACAAATTAATACTGTCCAGAAGATGTTTAACCTTTGTATTTGTCAAATCTAGAACCTCTAAACATTCTAAGAGGCCAAGATCCTCAGGTAACTTCTCAAACTCATCACAATGAGCAAGGCGAATATATTTTAGATTTTTTGGCATGGAAATGCTATCCGAAAACAAATTTAGATTCTCTAAACACCCTACCCGCTGAAAATCCTCAAGTAAATTCTTAAGGGACAACCAAGCCCAAAGGTCAAGAGATTTTAGATGTTCCAACTTCCATATATCGTCTGGAAGTTATACCAAATCATGACAATCACTAAGATTCAACGTCTTGAGATTTGGAGTTAGATCAAGGTCAATGGTCTTCTATTTTGAATCACTGAGATCAAGAAATCTAAGCTTGTCAAGAACCTAACATAAGGAGAAAAACAAGATGAATATTGCTGTCAATACAAAGCAATGAATGCATAAGTCATAACATTACAATGAATCATGCAAAAACAATTAATCAACCAAAACTTTACCTTTTTTTTCTCCCCCTTCCCAAAGTTGTACGATTTCACTTGTAGGCAACTCAAGTGTAACAAGATTATTTGCTTGAAATGTTTCGGGTAAAGACCTAAAACGATAAGAATCCCATTTCAGATATCGTAAAGCATCTGGAAAGCTTGGACTAAATGTATCAAGTTCAGCGTCCCTTAAATGGTTTGTTGTAACCACGGAAAGATATCTAAGCGCCTTCATCTTTCCAAGACCTTTAATAAGCATATAAGGATTGAGTTTTGTACTGTAAAATTCTATACATCTTGTTTCTTCAGTACCCTGGAAGGAGGTCACCATGAAAGTTGTGTCAAAATAGATGAATAAGTGTTAGATTTCTCGAACATACAAATAAACTTGATCCTTACCGAGTCATTAGCCAATATATGTTCAATTTTTTCATTCTTCCATAATTGTTTATGTTTCTCTGGCATGTTTGGGTGTGAACGGCGAACAATATTCATGCCCATCTCTTCAATATGGTTATACATGCCACATACTTTGGTCCCAACGGGCATCGATGGTTATGAGAGATTTTTGCTGAAGAAATCTTAAACCACTTAAAGCATGAAATCCACAACTTTCAAGTGCTTGGATTGTCTTTTCTTTTAGCCAACCTTTCATTATGCATGCAATATCTAGGAATATTTCCTTGTGATCATCCTCGAGAATGGTATAGCTTAATTCCAATATTTTCATTGTTTCGGTTAGCGGAATGGTTTTTAGTCGTTGTAAGGTATCGTTCCATATGGGCTTATCTTCACCACATAGATTAGAACCCAAAACTTTGATTGTCAGGGGAAGACCAGAAGCATAACATAGAACTTGTTTTGATATCTCTTCGTTATCTTCAATTGGAATCTCTCTCCTAAATGCATACCTACTAAAGATGCAAATTGCTTCCTTACCGGATAACAAATTGACATCACGAATCAATGTCACTTTGTGTGCTAATAATAATTTCTCATCTCTTCTTGTATTCATAATTCTATTTCCCGGCTTAAACCGACTACACTCACCGGCTAACACCTCAAGTTGGTTAATATGGCTTACATCATCTAGAACAATAAGAACCTTCGTTCCACACATCCTTCTCTTAATCATGCTTTTCCCTTCATTAACACCTCTTATGCTGACGTCTTTATCATCTAATACATCCAAAATGATTTGACATTGCAACGAATTCAAACCTGACAAAGAAGTGCTTGAAATTTCCCTAACATTCTCAACAAAGCTTGCACCTTTGAACTAAAAGGATATTTCATTAAAAACAGATCTGGCCAAAGTTGTCTTCCCACCACCTCATGTAACGCCCTATTCTAAAATATTCATTTAGGGATTTCAGAAGCCAAGGCTAGGGGCGTTCTCGTAATTTATAGGCTTTGAGTTTTATTCGAGAAGGTTTCGGGCCGGGGTATGTTGCTAGAAGCGTAGGGCTTCTCGCCACCTTTTCGTGGATATAAAGTTTGTCAGAAACGGAATTATGATGAAGGAGTTATAACATTTTGAAGTTGTTGTCATTTATTGCCCCTCAATGGAAAAGTTGGCAAAGAAGGGCCATGCATAGAAAGCAAGAAGCGCGTAGGTATCCCCATCATAAGTTGGCTTACGACCAGCGTATGAAAGGAGGTGGATGCTGGAGCCTTTTGGCGTATGCCCATTGTACATGATATACACCCAGCATACGCTTAGTGTTCGAAAACGCTATTTTAGGGTATGCCACTATAAGGAATGTTATACCCTCAAGTTTTAGCCTCCATTCCACCCTAAAGAGCTTCTACGAAACCCTAACCCTCCTTTGAGTTTTTTTTGGAGCTTGGAGGCCTTAGAAGAAGGATTCTAGTGCTGTAAAGCCATTTCCTCAAGCAAGTGAAGAACAAGGAAGGTGGTGGACTGAAGGAGGAGATATAGATCTGGGATATTTGCTTCATTTCGGACCTTTTTAAGGTATAAAGTTTTGAACTTGATGATTAATCTATTAGATCTCTCTTAGTACAAGTTGATGGACTCTTTTGGTCCCAAGAATGGATCTTTGAGACTCAAGCACGTTTCTAAGTCCAAGGTTTCCTCCCTTAGGGTCATATGTGTCCAATAAGCAGTAAAGTTCCAACCTTTAGGACTTATTTGTGCTCATGTTTGAGATCTAGCCCTTGGAATGAAAGTAGGTTGTCACATTTTGAGTTTGGGCTTATTTGGTGGATTGCAAGTCACCAAGTTAGTGACTTTATGAATTAAGACATGGAAGAGGACTTGGATCTGAGTTTGTAGCCTTTGGATCAGAGTATTGAGAACTTAATTGACAAGTGGCTTAACAGGGTTGTACGCTGGAGGTACGCACGACGTACAAACCATTAGTCAGTATGCTTAGCGTACGTAGGGGTACGCCTCGCGTACTTTACCAGTTTCGGTTTTGAGTAATTGGGCCTCGGTGTGGGTTGTGCGTTGGACTATGGGTCTTTGGGCCTTTATAGGCCATCACTAGTCGGTTAATATGAGTCAAGTATATGTGTTTGGGCTTAGGGCAAGGCCCAATAATGGATTAGGCCCAATATATCAAATTGGGCCATTAATGGGCTTGGGAGGCTTACTTACTTTTGGGCCTTAGTTGTGGGCATTAGATATGGACCAAGTTGGACTAGGGGTAGAACTGTCATTTTATCCTAAGATGGATTAATGTATTGGACTAAACATAAGAGGAAGATGAGTGTGGGCGGGGGACCGTATCTCACTAACATTAGGAGCTTGGACGGGGTTCCATAGCTCACTAGTAGCAGGACAAGGGCGAGGCCCAAGACAGGCAAGGCTTTAGGACAGTAATGCAGTAGGGTACGTTCAGTTTATGTGTTTTGTGCTTTGGTTATATGTTTGCATGCGTTAGCGGATGGGGCCTAGAGACAGGAAGGGCCTAAATTAAAACAAATTTGTATACCGAGTGGGGCTTGAAGCCAGGCGGGGCCCAATGTAGTGGGTGGGGCCCGATGTAGCGGGTGAGGCCCGAAGTAACGGAAGTGACCCAGTACTTGCAGTATGTGATTATGCATGGTATGTGATAGGTTGGGGAACTCACTAAGCTTCGTGCTTATGTTTTTCAATTTTGGTTTCGGGTACTTTCGGTAACGGAGGAAAGAGCTCGGGGTGATCACATGGTACACACCATTGTTTATTCAGCCTGGGATGTTTACTCTGATAAAATAAAATAATGTTTTGGACATGATACTCTGACGTGATATGTTTTGTATGAATGGTTGACACTGTGGTTTGTTTATTAATTTGAAAATGTAATTTTTGGTATGGATTTTTGGGTCGTTACAAGTTGGTATCAGAGCCTTGGTTTGAGGGATTCGGATACACCCTCGGGTGTATCTGGACTCAAACTGAGGAATTGGTATATAAATTTTCAAAAAGGAAAATCGATTTTGTAAAAAGGTTTTGAGCAAAGAAAATAACTTTAGAAAAGTATAAAGAGAAGAACTTTGAAAAGAGAAAAGGGTGTGGTGCATGCAATCAACCGAGCTCAAGTAAGTACCCCAATTTACCCATACAAGTTTATGTTATGATATGAATATGAGAACTGCATGCTAGACTAGGTTTGGGGATCTAGGAAGGATGCATTATGTGCCTGTTATATGTGTATGAGCTTTATGACTTGGATGCTAGTATAGATTCTTGTTATGTGGATAGAATTTCTTGATTATGTTCTGGTTAGATTTCCCTTTTGTCTGAATGCTAGTTGCTTTGTGCTTTGTGGGACTCTGAGTGATGGGAGTTAGCCATTAGGTGAGTGCGTCAAGTCACATGTTACCAGGGTTGAATAATCTCAGAATGTTGGATTTGGCCCTATTGCGCAACTCTTGTTTGAGTCTAACCGTTGTAGGGACGATTCCTTTACTCGAAGGATTATCTGAGCCTCATCATATTTGATGGTATTCAGGTAATGGCTAATTAGCATTATAAAGATACCTTCAGTAGCTGAGGATTGCGTATGGGTTGGAGGATACCCTAGGGCAAGCCTAGGATGAGATTAGTGTTGGGAGCAGTGTGATTAGAAGGGACCTAGTGGAGTTGAGGCAATTCTTGAGGAAAGTACGGATAGATGTGGAAGGTAGTATGGGCCCATACTAGTGAAAGTAGAGGATCCGTAGTCGATTCAAGAAGGGCCAAGATGAGACCAGGAAACTTATAGTGAGTGAGTGATCCCTCATCAGTAAGGAACATCCAGATGGTTGTTATGATATGTTTCCAGCATGGTGACGTTGTGTGAGAGACCAGTCGGCGGATCAGGCGTTGGAGAGGGATCAGGCTCAGGATCAGGAGCCGAGCAGCTCGAGGAGCGGATGACAGAGTTGATATCAGCTGAGGTTACGCGTGGTATTCTAGACCACACTCCTGTGATCTTTAGTTCGATCAAGGAGGGTATTTTAGAGCTTCTGGATGAGAAGCCGGGGGCTTTTCTTGCTGAGATGATGGCTCTGGTGGGGGCGCGTACCTTGACATTCCGAGAGTTCAGGGCTTGTGGAGCTCCGGATTACCATGGGGCCAGGGACCCCATTGCTAGCAGTAGGTGGTTGGCTGATGTCGCCTATGCTTTCCGTACGAGCTGGTGTACCGAGGGGAACAAGGTTCGACTTGCCTCGTGTTGTCTGAAGGATAGAGCACGGGAATGGTGGGAGGAGATTGGTCATGCTATTGGAGATGATGTCGCGTTGGATGCGATGTCATGTATTGATTTCTCAGCTAGATTCAGGGCTGAGTTTGCACCAGTTATTGAGGTGCAGCAGTTAGCATGAGAGTTTTAGGACCTCCAGCAGACTACTGAGACAGTGGCAAAAATCACCGCCAAGCTCAGAAAGAGGGCACTTTTCGTTCCGCAGTATGTCGCAGATGAGGAAATGAAGAAGGACCGATATCACGAGATGCTGGGGAGTGACATCAGGGAGTTTGTGAGTAGGTCCAACTGCAAGACGATGGAGGATATGATTGCTCGGGCTAGGGAAAAGGGAGATCGATCTAGAGCACATCATGAAGAAGAATTCGGAGGAGGTGTAGGTAGCCGCAGGTTCAGGCAAGAGACCCAAATGGTCGGATGTGAGATCGAGGGATTATCAGGGCCGCAATCGTTGTGGCAAGTGTGGCAAGACGCACGAGGGTGCGTGCAGGGGTGGCAATGGGGGTGATTTTGGCTGCTTTAAGTGTGGTCGGACTGGTCATTTCATTAGGAATGGTACTGCTACCACCACTTAGGGATCCGACTTGATATGTTTTCACTACAGTCAGAGGGGCCACAAGAAGGCCCAGTGCCCGAGTTTGCTTTTGGTAGGACAGGTGATGACACCTGCCCCTACAAACTTGAGGATCACGGACGGACGTCAGGGCCGAGCAGAGGTGCCTGAGGTGGGGAGCGAGGCTTTCCAATTTTCTACAGTGGAGGCACGATCAGCACCAGGCGTTGCAGGTGAGTATCTTTTGATTTCATGTGAGTTTTATTCTTGATCATATTGTTATGGTACTACAATTATGTTAAGTGAATGTATGCGATGATTTTCCTGTTGTGTTCGGATTATATTCCATCTGCATACCATGGGTTTCGGTCGGTAGTTCATAGTAGTACCCTCTTTTCTAGCCGGTTCCTAAGATGCAATCACAGTAGTAGGTGTGAGTGGGGTTCGGGAAGTGCATTATTAGTTTTCAAGAGTGGTTCAGTATTGGTGTTGGTTGTTGCTAGCAATGGTAAGTGTTGGATGTCAACAAATTTACCTCTTTTGATAGAGAAAAGGATTGGGAATCCTTCTTAAGTTGGGGAATGTAGGGGACTAGTCTAATCAAAGTGGGGGAGAACTATTCTAGAAGTTGAGAGTAGGAGTAAGTGCAATTCGGGATGCTTTTGGATTAGTAGTCAGTGGTATAGTCAGTGTGGAGAGTGTGGTAAGACTGCGGGATAGCTGAAACGTTCATTAGTAGCCAGTTAGAGGAGTGTGGATGAGGGCTCGTATCTCCTAGTTAGTAGAGTTTGGGCGAGACCTGTATCTCTTAGATAGCGAAGTATGGATCAAGAAAGGATAGTTTGTTGAGATTTAGTATGGAGTTGGCTG